AGGCGTGTGTACCATTTTTGCTTGGAGTGTCAGTGTTCTATCAATTTCAGGTCGCTTCAAGCTAAAAGTGTCAATATAAATTTTGTTTATATTAATTTTTTTATTTCAGAAAGGCATGTGTACCACAGTTTGGCTTGGAGTATTAGTCTTTTATCAATTTCAGGTCGCTTCAAAGTTATAAGTGTCAATAGCAATTTTTTTTATAATTTCAGGAAGGCATATGTACCACTGACTGGCTTGGAGTATTAGTGTTTTATCAACCTCAATGAAGTTAAAAGTTTCAATATAAATTTAATCTTAGTTTACATAATTTTTTTAATTTCAGGAAAGAATGTGTACTTACAATGTATGACTGTCTTGGCAGTGTTCTAGTTTTATCAACCTCAAGTCATGGAATTTTTTTTCTATTTGGGTTTTGTCAAATATCACTACAGTATGATTGTAAAAGCACAATATGATGACCATTCGGTCGCATTTATATATTATCATATTTGCTCTAACCAAAACATGTAATCATTAAAATATTACTTAATTTGACCGAAGAAAAAGATAATATAATATAATATAATATAATATAATATAATATAATATAATATAATATAATATAATATAATATAATATAATATAATATAATATAATATAATATAATATTATATTATATACTGTAGAATACTTTATTTTCGCTGGGAATTAATTTTCCATGTACCATTTTTCCTATATATTACATTCAACGCACCAAAAATCAGTGAAAGTAAATTCCATATAACACACATAAAAATTCATTTCAGCAAAAATTAATTATTTTACAGTAATATAATATAATATAATATAATATAATATAATATAATGTAATATAATATAATATAATATAATATAATATAATATAATATAATATAATATAATATAATATAATGGATTGGTAATGAGAGATTAACTGTAGAATATGAATTAATTTAAGCAAGCCTCTTTAAATAGTTAGGAGACATAATTTTTCATTGAAAATCAGTGGATGTGTTTGTCTAAGGAATAAGAGCATCCAGTACACTTGAAATTACAGGATATCTACTTTTAAAATATCATATTTTTTAACTAAAACAGTATCATTTTATTATTTTAATCTTGTTCTGAAAGTGATTTTTCATCAATTAGCAAAGTGGGAATCATATTTTTAAGAGAAGCTATTTCAGTTTGAGTTATAATTCAATTTTTGTTTTTAGTCATTCTTCATCACGCTGTCCTATTAACATGCTGAGATAAATGCCCTCAATTCCAGTTAGAAATGTAAGATTTTTCCAATCTATATGTAGAAAGTTCATTAACCGGCAAAACTATGCAAATATCGATTTCAATCTCAATGAGAAACCACAAGAATCCCAGAACGGTAACTACACTGTTGCTAGTGATACAATGTTTGACCCTCCAGTCAACAGAAAAAAAACAAAAGCCTTGCATTAGGGTGTGGATTACAATGTAAACCGAACTCATTTTTCTTGTACGGCCACTGAGTGACAGAGTTTCTTACAATCGCCCCTTCATACATGTAAACACTACTTTCCAAAGCCACCACGCTTTGTTACCGCTATTTTTTTTTTTGTCATTCAGTCTTGCCATTTACTGTACTAGCACAGCGTAACACTTCACAAATTGGAAAGCTGGTATACCTCAAGCTAAGTGAAACATGTCTACAGTTGTACAAGAATGGTTTGTGAATTAATTCATACTATCATTTAGTTGCAGCCATCCAATAATGCATTCAATAATTATAAAAATACTAAAATTGTAAAACGTAAATTTTTAAAGTTACATTACATAAAGTACATTCAGCTTTATTGAAACTATTATTGTTACGTGACATACTAGTATATTACAGTCTGTATTTGCATTAATCAAGAGAAATATATTGTTCAGCATGTCCAATGCATTTTTACTTCACTTCAGTTTTGAATAGATTTAGAATGCACTCGGATTCACGAAGATTCAAATTTGTTCTTAATTACAGCAAGCATTTTTTCCCTGCAATGCAAATTTAGCAAAAACGCCACTAAAAAGTCCCAAGACCCAAATTAAGCTCTATGAATAATCTCATGGGTGTTCAACTTTAAGTCGCATCTTTAACATGAATATGAAGTACAAAACAATGAAAGCATCTGTCTGGTTATCATGAAACCACTTAGATAGAAACCCAAGTTCACCCACTACAAGTCAACACTTCTCCAACTTGTAATCTTATGAAAGCGCACAAATTGGGTTACAGTTTCTTTCTTTTGTAATCAGCTCAAATTTGAACGTCAGCTTGCTTTGGTTATCAACATTATGGAAATGAGACATGGAAAGTACAAGTATCAAGGAGAAATTAAATACGGTCTCACAGTCCTCAGTTTTCATTAACAAGTATATGTATCACTGGTATAACATACACACACACACACACACCGGTTCTTGCACACCAGTCACTGATAAATAGAAAAGCGGTCTAATGACTGATATAGTTCAGCTGTTTTGGATGCATAATGAGAAATAAATATCAAATCATTCAGTCAAGTGATTTTCAATGTAACAAGAATATTTACTAAAATGAGAAAATTGAAGTTATCGACACTCAATGAATTATTCTGACAGAGAAATGACCCAAATCAATCTGACAGTGATCCATCAAAGGAACCCACATATAAAATACCAAAATAATCAAGCTGATCGTTTTCTAAGAGATGTCAGAAATATTTCTTATTTACTACAATTGACAAAAATGTTAACTAAAATTGGAGATTAGTATTACCGCCACAAAATGAATTAATCTGAGAGAAACCACCCAAGGTACATTTGTAGGGAGTAGGAAAATGTAAAAATTTACATCAATGGAAGAACAACCAGTAATATGAACAGCTCCGCTGGCTCATAACAGTTTTAGTACAATTCAGCTTTCTCACTTACTCTTTATTCAAATGCAGCCACTGGTATGATGAGTGAAAAATCCTTATTAAATCATTTTTTAACCAAATTATGAACATTGCTAGCTCACAATATACAAGTACAAGAAGTTTCAGGCTTGTTTTACTCATCTGGTGACACAGGTTTTAAATATTAATGTTCAACCGTACTGACAATAGGGAGTGAACAAAGTGGAACACATAATAAAAGATTCTCTAGGATCACCATACACAACATAGATTCAAACACAGAATGGCAACAGGGTTCAATTTGAAAGTAGCCTGAGGCACACAAAATACCAGATCTAATCCTAGGACAACTATTTTCAAAATGAACTAGCCGTGTTATGCTGCATAACAAACAAGCAAACAAATCCCCGTCCAGAAAACACCATTAATTGTGTCTCCTTGTGGATAGAAAAATAATGGTTGTCAGTCTAGCTAGACACTGGCCAAAATGTAGAGCCACAAGTTGCAAATATTACGAAAAAACCTACTCATGCAAAAATAAACATGAACTTGAAGGAAAAATAACTTCCATAAGCAAATGAAACTTATTAGGAAAAAGCCCTTGAACAATGATTTGGACAGGCACATTTATTCAGATTACAGATAGGTAACTTTTATTCTCAGTTTCAACCCCATGAAAGGTTAACGTTGTGAGAAATCAATCATGAAGAAAAAAAAATCAGATTCCCATGCAGCCTTCGAAAAGACTAATTCTAAACCAGTTAATCTTAAGTTTGGAAAATGTCATTGCAAAATGCTTCAAAGTGGGATGATATCATGTACAGTGTTATAGTAGACACTCAAAAGACACTACTGTCTTCATTCAATTAATTATAAGTGACAGTATGTGTAGTTATCAACAGGTGACTTCACTTTTTTTTTAAATTCAAATGGTGGCATTTATTTTTAGTAACTACAAGAATATACAAAGCACTGTACAGATCATACACTACTGTATAGAGCTTGTTTCAGACTTGTTAAGTAGGACTTTTTTACTGTTTTATCTGAAAGTAAATATTTTTAGTTTTTCACCATGCTTGTGTGACTGCAAACGCTGAAAAAACTAAATATATTTATTTCAGATAAAACTAATATGAAATTAGGGTTTACTTTGCTGATAGCTAAATGCACTAAATTAAAACCCAGTGAAAAATCAGAAATTAATGATAGAATGTATGGTTTTCGCCATAAACCAGTGATTTTAAAAACTTGATGAATATTCCTGTGACATAAAAATTGCTAAAAAATACTGTGGAATACTTTATTTTCGCTGGAATTAATTTTCGCTGAAAAGGCTTTTTGAGCATTTTGTATGGAATTTATTTTCACTGATTTTTTATGAGTTTAATGTGAAATATAGGAAAAAAAGTATATTCGCTGGATTTTATTTTCACGGAATCATCCCTTCAGCGAAAATAGCGAAAATAAATTCCAAGCGAAAATAAAGTATTCTACAGTAAACCCAATGAATATTCCTTCTTTATTATCTTCCATGTCCAATTTCAACAGGTAATGTTGAAGTTAGACGGTAGCAAAATATTATGTAATGAAAGAGCGGTTGTGTTCATTGTGCAAGGATGAAATGATGCAATGTTTACATAGTCATAGGAGATGTGTGAAAAACTCACTCACCCTTTATCATCATCAAATGTTTTGAAACACAAGTGTTTGTTTACAAATATGTTGATGTCATTGTCACCATTGAAAACAACTCATTCAACATTTTAATTTACCTTGTTATTAATTAAAGTAAGTATCTTGTAACTTTGAAATGTGTGTGATAAAACTATAATTACCTGCCCGAGATATTGGTTTTCATATAGTGTGAGGTCAAATATATCGGGCAAATTAGTGTCCCAGTTTTATGAGGTCAACGTTTGATTTCGTAATGACTATTGTGTTTAGGAACTTTAATTACCACGCATTTCAACATTTACGAACGAATTAGGACACGGAACGATGAGCACGACATACACATTAACGTCATGGTTATGAAAGTATGGTAGTTTTAGTGTTGTAAACACAGTGAAATAAATTGTCATATAAAAGGAACACATTACTTACACTTCGATCAGTACGTTCCTATTCCTCACTTTCGCCGCCATAATTTCAACAGTTTTGCTCCGTATAGCTGCTTTTAATGTTCGTTATAACGTCGCCCGGTTTCATTGAGATAATTCGACGGGTATACATCGACAATCAACAAGATAACTAATATAAAATACACAACGATATCGTTCAGACGAGCTCACTGCCAGTGGGTTTACGTTTAGACATGAGATACCACCATGATCCTTAATGAACCCATGGCGACGGAAATGCGTTCGGTCGGCAGTTGCTTTTTAATGTCCAGCACACTATCTTCGGCGTGGGCCCTGCAAGAATCTAACGCGAAACGGGGATATCCGTGTTCAACATATTAAAACAGAAAACACAAGGTGGCGATTGCAATTCAATAACTTTAAGCTGTAAACCCTTTCGTCGGTAAACAAAATGGCGAAGTACATTCCAATCCCACAATGCATCAAACTGTTGATCTGCCTATTCAGACCCCTTAACTTTGTCATTACAGGGATAGGACGAGTCGTCGCAAAATATGTCTTCAAAGTTACGCCCTACGCAATTCCACAATTTTGATAACATTTACCAACCTCTTTTTTTAATAAGATAATCAACAATTGTTATTATAAAATGTAAATATATGAAAAATCAGTATCAAAAGACCTCCTAAGTTTAAACTGATTCATTCCAATATGCTAACAAACTGATATGCAGTAGTTTCCTTAGACGCGACTGAGAAATCCTCACTGCCTTGATCTGTATTCATTCATTTTATGAACAGTTTTCTTTTATTTTCCTGTGGAATACATAATGTAGATACTCATTTTTATTAGTAGTTAACATAACCAACACAACGAGTCGCGAAAAAAAAACACTTTCACATTTAAAAAATAACAGCGTCGTCACGGACACAATTTTCTACAAATTATCTGTTATGAAGAAGATTACTAGTTTTCTCTCCATTCACGTGACGGGCTCAATAAAAAACAAAAAAATTACACCTACAAACTGTAGGTGGCGCCAGTGTATATGAAATTAAAACACAGACTTGCGCGTTGTAAACGCCGGGTGAAGGATGACCAAACGAGTCCCAAGTAGCGCGTAGCGTGTGACTCGTCACTTGAATATGCTAGTATATTCGTATTTCGAACACTTTTGATATTTAGTATTAAAAATGTGTTGAGTTATAAATACATTATATGGCAGTCCAACTATTTTGTTACACATGTATTTGGTAGCGTTTAATTTTGTGATATCCCACGTAGTAAATGACGGGCAAACGTATTCCGAGACTGTACAGTGTATTACATTATTTGACATTCAAAGATGCTATACTCGAAATACGTTTATTGAATTTCATTCCTGATATTTGACCCAATAGGGGCAAAAACAATTATCAAAATTATTCATTGTAATAATTGTACATATTAATTTTGAAAAACTGCCTGAAATGATTTACAAATGAGAAGTTTTGTTTAAAAACAATTTCCATAGGGAGCCATGTTTTCATGAAAAATGAATCGTAATCATTAGACTAACAACCACAAGTAACCGTCTTGTAACTACGTATGATTTTTTTTTATCATATGTTTCCAAACGAAATTTTGAGATACTATGAGAAAGTATTTTCACGGATGTTTGACGTATGTTTTGTGTGAATAACGCATCGTGGAATTACAATACAAATACTCGAAACTCTCATAGATGAATAGCATGACGCAATGTGTAATGGCATGACGCATTTTGGAATTACAATATAAGTGCTCAAATCTCACATCGTAAAATTGCATGTTGTTGCGTCAAATGGCATAACTTACAATTGAATGGCATACTAGTATTCTAATTTTTGCAGGAATACAACGCCATAAACCGTGACTGAACGCAGAAAGTTCAACTTCTTACAGACGTAATGGTTTGAGTACACGGCGCCTAATGTCTAGCCTAATAGTTTATAACGTGTTTTACGTCACAGTGAAACAGGGAATTTCTGTCAAACGAGTAGACGAAAAGAACTTTCTTCGAACGCTAATAGCATTCAAGTTATACTCCATTTGAGTGGAGACAATCGTGCCAGCGGAGCGTTTTTGTTTAACTACAAATGCCAAAAAAAAAATCTACAAAGCAGTGTTTTTTCTCGTGTTATTAGTTCCAAGGTATTTCGACGAAATAGGTAACAGTAACAGGTACATTGCAATCCGCTCCACTCAAAAAATAAAACAAAAACGTCTTTTCGGCTGTTGCCGTGGTGGGAAATGAACTCGAAGCTAACGTCGGTTTTTAACTATAATTGGGCCCCATATACGAAGTTCACCATGAGCATTAAGTTTTCAGTTTTCAGAAGTCACTTCACTTTATTACTAGCACACGGCATAATTTCCTGTACAGTTATATTTATTACTTTATTTCCGACCGTTTTGCGATTGTATTTTCGTTGATTCTTTGATTGAATCCAGCATTTACAGTTTATTCAAAGTTCAAAGCTGCGTTGTGACTTACGTTGATACAGTATTAGTCGCGCGACACAGTGAAAGTTTCAACCAGCACAGTTTTCAACATGGCACATAATAACAATATCAGCGCTGGTGATCTCTCGAGCTCGTCGGTGTGCAACTTAGCCACACAAAAAACGTGATCATTGGAACCCCTATATTACAAGACTGGTAGGAGGTAATACATTTGGAGCGATAGTTTCAAAATTAGTTTTTTGGCTGTTGTCATGGCAACGATGGTTTTTCCGATTTCACCACCCAACTAGTAGAGTGGCGGTATGACCGGTCTGCCAAGTATGAACAAAATCGGCCCAGCCAAAAAAATCACAGAATTAATACGTGAAGACACTGAAAATAACACATTACATGGATTTGATCGAGTTGTGACGCAGCCTGGGCGGGACAGGATCACCCCTTCGATAAAACGCACCGGTACGTAGTAAACTACTTTATGAAAACACTAAAAGAATGTCAATTTGTCGAATAGAAGTGATGATACACCTTGAGGTAAACATAATTTCAATATATGAGTAGGTATCAATATACAATATACCTACAATCATTATATATTATCACAATTACAAAATTTCTTCCAATTTTTCTTCAATTACAATTGGACGCTGCATTGTCCGTATCTTCGTGTTCGACGTCTGAAACCCGCAAGGGCGCTGTGCACAGTTCAGTAAATAAGGAAATAGTTTCCAGTAAAAAATAAGATTGATGAAGAAAACACGATATGATGAAAAAAGTATCAACTCGCTGGACACTGTTACGATGTGTGCCAACTACAGTGATGATGAGTCGACCTTCTGGACCGACTCGACTTACCGTCGGAAATGGAGAATGGAGATGAACCTAACACGCTTTGTGCGAGTACCAGTCTGACTAGTAATGTGAACTTGAGAGGAACCTTAATTACATAATTACATACTATACGTACAAAATCACAGTAACCTCGAAATCTCCACTGCACCTGGTACCCGCAGACTATTAATTTTAAGGAATATTGTGTTTTTTATTCAAATAAATTTTAACAGTAATTTATTCAAGTTCACAATTGTAGAGTGTAAAATGTGTGAATCTTTGCCACTACCGCTGAGGGCGCAGCTCTAGAACTAACGGGGTTGGGAGAAGTGTTTTGAACCTCACCACTACAATATTGTTTGCGTTTCCGCAGATTAGAATACTAGTATTATTTCATCTATTCATTACGTAAGTGAATTATCAGGTGTTTATCCCGACCCATGATAGAGTACGACTAGGATGCCGCTGCGCCGAGGACTATTACAGAAGAGGCGGCACGAAATTTTCCATGGGGGGTCTGCTCACCAAACTTACTAGAGGGTCCCGAGTACAATCTATACCCTCTGTTGAAATCTATACCCTCTGAAACGCTATTTCCTGCATTTTGAGGGGCAAATTTGGCTGACACAAAGTGTTTCAGCTTGATTTTGGAGGGCCCCAAATATTTTTTTCGAGGGAACAACTGCCTCTCAGCCCCTTCCCTCCTGTGCCGCCGCCACTGTATTACCAGACCTTAAATCTATACGTATAGCTCTGTGGGGTAAACTAATAGACGATGTCCCGGTGTTGCCTGTCCGTTCCATGTAAAGTTCATACACGCAGGGCTAACCAGACCGAGACAAAACAGTCCGCAGGCCCGTGGCGCTTCTAAACTTTAAGGGGGGGTGATTATCTATATTAAACTATGGTATTATAACTTCACTCGTCCTCAAATTTCTGGCTTTGGAATCGCCTGCGGCCCGAAACTCCTCGGTGTCGGTGGTTCTCCATTACATAGCAGCCAAGTAGGAGAACTCCAACGAAGTTATGCCGCGAATTTAGTGAGTTTTAGGCGGTTTTTCTGTAGCCCCATTGCGGGCTGTGTGTTGTCACAACGTGTATTTGTTACGTGGCTCCTTAATACTAGTATACAAGTAGAATGATAATGTGCTAATGACCTGATTTACCGATTTATCCCAGGGGGCAACATGCTGCATTACATCACAAATGCACATGGGGGTGTACTTTCCACTTGGACCATGTGAGCACAAGTTCTGAAATGCGGACTAAGAAACAAACAGAACTTTCATAATCAATGAGCATTAATAACTTGAAACAAAGACCTTATAGAAGGTCTATGCTTGAAACATACATAGTGAATGTCCACCATATCCTCCATTGTACGATTGTATTTACTCTGAATGTCCTGTTTTCAAGTCTCCTTGCTTTCATAGATTGTCTTGGCACTTTTATACAGACCACATAACATCAATATGTTTACTTATCTATTTCATATTATGCAAATTGGATGAGAACACTAATCACACATTCCGATAGATCAACGCTCACGCACACATATAGTATATACTGCATTCACGCATTGCGTACTCGTAATAAAAGTTCGGGAAATTTTATAGCATATTTCATTTAATAATTACTATTACAAATTTCGTGCAAAAAATTACAGGACTAACTAAAGGCCTTAAAGTATGATAAATTTCTATAGAACGTTTAGGGTGGCAGGAAACTTGACCAACTTTGCATATCTCTGAGTCATGTGACTTTACACACTCCTCGTGCATCATTGCAGACAATACCTGTACCGTTAGCAACGTTGCATGCAGCATCACAGACTTCCCACGCCACATTACAGTCTTTGCAGGCAACTTTACCAACATTGCACGCGATTTTATACACTTCCGACGTAGCATTGTAGACTTTGAATGTACTGTTACCAATTTTGAATGTGCCATCTCGTATTAGAAACTTGGCTGGTAACTTTACCAACGCTGCACGCGATTTTACACACTTCAGGCGAAGCTTTACAGGCTTAGAATGAATTGTTACCTACATCACATGAGCCTTACAGACTTCCAGGTTTGTATTACAAACTTTACAGGCAACTTTACATTGCATGCGACAATT